GAGGCCCATACAGGGCCATTGATTCACTCTGGGTAACAGAGCAGCATAAGGCCTGGTGTCTACTGCCCTAGACGCTGAGTAAGCTGGAGACTCTGGCTGGGCCCTTGGCACTGGAAAGAGGGACTGTCCCTGAGGCTGGGGTGATCTGGCATGTGTCTTCCAGTCTGGCCCACTGACAGCTCCACGCCCAGCTCTAGAGGCGCAAGTAGGTCAAAGCCAGCCTCCCTGAGCAAGGCCTGCCTTACGCCTGGCCAGAACCCCTGCTGCCCCTTTCAGCTATCCGTGCAATGCACGGGCCTCTCTGGAACCATCCTAGGCTGCACACTCAGGCTCTTGCTCCCTGCCTCCTGCATCTGTGCCCTCCACACTCTGGGTCCTGGGGTCCTTGGTGACTCTGTTCTATAACACAGCAGCCTTGGGTTGTCCCTTTGCCTGGGTTTATCTTCCAGAGCTTCGGGAGGGAGAGCTCCCTTTCCCTTGTCAGCCCAATGGAGCCCTGCTCAGTCAGGCTTGTGCAGCCTCCTGTGAAGGGGACTCAGTGGCTGGTGAGGGCCCATTTTCTGCTTCACAGATGGTGGCTTCTAGCTATGTCCTCACATGGTGAGGGAAGCAGGGCAGCTCTCTGGGCCTCTTTCATAATGGCACTAACCCCATTCCTGGGGGCTCTACCTCCATGACCTAATCGCCTCCCCAGGGGCCCCACCTCCCAATAACATCACACTGGGGATTCTTTCTCAACACATGAATTTTGGGGTGGGACTCCAACATTCAGACTCTAGCACTTCCAATACAGCTCGAGCCCCACCACACCACCCAATTCTTTGCAGTCCCTTCCCTTGGCCCTTGTGGCCCCCAGAACCCACAGGGCCCCTGCATGCAAAGGACTGAGCCCCAGAGCCACGCTGCTGCTGCCCTTTGACTTTTCCCAATGCCCAGTCCCATCCAGAGAATTGGACTTCCTTGGAATGACACTGGCCCAAAAGGAGGCTGATTTGCTGCACCCTCTGGGATGCTGGCCATGGGGCCAGTGCTCTCAAGGCCCAGCGTGATGGCTGCCTTGCCCCAGCTCTCCCGTCTCACTCCAGACGCCCTTGTGCCTTGGAGATGAGCCTGCAGGAGCTGTGGTGAGGGCAGGTTCTGGGCCCTTTTCCACTTCTCTAGCCCCTCCTCTCGCTTCCAAGCAGTTCCACAGTGGGGGCCTGCCCTGCCTGGGGCTCTGGCTCCATGACAATTTCCAGGTCTACCTGGCATGGGGACCAGGGATGGGCATGATAAGAAACAGCCCACAACAAACGTGGAGGTTGGGAAGGTGGTCTGGGAAGGCCTCTGCAGTGTGAGTGCAGGAAACTCAGAGAGCGGCTGGGCAGCTCTTTGGGTGTAGAGAGGGGCCAGGAGATGCCCTCATCTCCCGTGGAGCTGCCTGCTTACCTTCCATCTGCTTGCAGTGCCTTTTCCAGGCTGCTGGCCCAGCTCCCTCGAAGGCTGTTATTGTCAACACCCTCCCTGTTGCCTGGTGTCCCCACGGAGGGACACTGCTGTCGCCCACGTCTTTGCCACATCCTGTCCTTGTCACACCCCAGAAACCTGGGAGAAAGGACTGGGGATTCGAGGTCCCCAGGCAGCCCAGAGTGCCGAGAGACCTCAGTGCCCCTCGGCTGCCAAGCCTCTCTCTCCTTGGTTTCTCTCCTGTGAATATGAGTCCCCTCCCTGCCATTCTCCCCGTGTCTTCTCCAAAAGTCTAGGGAAGGAGGCTCTGAGTGGTGCAGACCCCACGCTCGCACACACAGGAAACATCAGGATGAGAAGCCCACATCCTTCTCACTGGTGTCTCCCAAACTCCCCTTCTCAAAGGATCTTTAGCCCCTAGCCTAGCAGGTAGGGAGCATGGGCTTATTTCAAACAATGAGCCCAGAGCCAAGCTGAGCCCTTTCTCCACTGAAGGCCAGTCTCTTGCATATCCCCTGCCACACGGCTTTCCCATCCATTCTGGAACACCTTTAACATCCTTAGTCAGGGACTGTCCATATGGGCTAAGGGAAGGCTTGGGGTAGCAGCCGCTGGGCACTGTCTATACCTATGTCACCGAGGGATGCAGGGGTAGCTATTCCGGAAGAAGAAAGCAGAGAGGCCCATAGACAGGTGGGGAAGAGACAGAGACAAAGACCAAAAGCAGCGTGACAGAGAGACAGGAGCTGGGGGAGACAGAGAGGCCCAAATCGACACCACATGGCCACCGTGCTGGACCCCAGGGCCCAGCAAACAGGCTTCATGCTGTCAGTTGCCATGGTGACAAACATGCAGGAAATATCCAAGATAACTAGAATAGTGGCAATACCATGTGTTTTGGATAAAACCTTCCACGGCCCCACCCCCTCTAATGGACTCGATGCATTGCTTAGGATAAAACTGGCTTTTGCACAATCACCTTCCCCAGGAGGCAGAGGCTGGGGGTTCTCGGGTCATCGGGTGAAAAGCATTGCTGCCCTAGGGAAACGGATGGACCTGAGCAGAATTCTGCTCATGAAAACACAGGTGCATTTGCCTCTCTGAGTCTGGATTTGGGTACCCATATCCTTTCACCCTGGAACACAAAGGCCAGGAAGTGTCTGAATTCCGGTTTGAGGTCACATGGCAGGGTCTGAGGACAGAGGAGAGGTCCTGGAAGGTTCTTCAGGAGCCCACAAAGCATCCCAAGGGAGTTCAAGATACATCAAGAAGCCAAAGCTAACGTGAGAGCCCATGAGACCACATGTGAGCTGGACGCCCTGGCAGTGCGGGCACCTCCCCAGGGCGAGCGACCCTGCCTCCGCTCTGAATGAAGGGCAAGGTATCCAGAGGGAAGAAGCAGAAAAGGGAGGGAGGAACAGGGGCACTTTGGGGCAGGTGACTCTGAGAAAAGGAAAAAAAGGGCAAGTTTTGGCCTGGTATTCACACAGAAAGGTGACTCCCACACCTGGGGGAGTGGAAGGAAGAAAGGGAGCATCTCAGAAAAGAGCAGAGCTTCCTAGGAAGCACCCCCCATCTCTCAGCTCCTAAAGATTGGCAGAGGGTTGGGGGGGTGCCAAAATCACCACAAAAGGCCCAGCTGGAAGCCAGCCAAGACAGTCGGTGCCCACCAGACTGTTTGGATTCCCCCTGCACTCTTTGGGTCGCTGGCAGAAAAGATTCCATGGAAAGGGCACAAACAAGATTTTAAGTCCTGCTACCTACTGCCTGTACAACCTTGATCAGGCTCATGACTTCCCAGGGCTTCCATCCTCGCCTCTGCTGGGTGGAGCCAACACTAACTTATCTCTCCAGGCTGCCAGGCGGAGTAAATGCCACAGGGCACGTAGGAGCACTTGGCACATTGTAAAGCTCTGTGTCCAAGCTGTTGATTGCTGTTGTGACTCAGGCAGAGAGCAGCAGGAAGGCTAAGGGGCCAGGGAGAGGCTGCAGGCAAAGGTTCATATGAGGAGACACTGGTTTTTCCAATGACACTAGACCCAGATTTTCCGATCTAAACAACCAGCTTCAGTTGTGATTTCCCATGTTGGAAAGTTTCTGGAAAATGATCCATGATAGAAATGGGTTTGGGAATGGTCCACCTGGACACAGTGGACCTTACTTGGCTTGGAGCATTCCCCTTGGGAATGCCAGAACCAATTCGTGGCCTAGGAGAACAAAGGGCGTCGTTCTACCCACTGACCCTTGCTCCTGACCCTCTTTGGTGACCACAATCCCAGCCTTAACCAATCAGGAGCATGAGCCACGCCCGGAAGCAACCCTTAAATGGCCCTCTAGGCCCAAGTGAGGTTGATGGCACCAGCTCCCTTGGGAATCTAGGGATTACGCAAACTGAGATGAAACCAGATTTGCTTCCATTTTTGCTGTTGGGAAGAGTGAAATTCACTCCACTCATCCCAGGTCCAAAGCCTTAGTTTGGTACCATGTTGCAAGGAATGTGGATGGAGGTGAGACGGAGACTGGTAGGGAAAGCAAGAAATGCCTCAGTCCCTGGTGCCCAGCTTACCCAGTAACTGCCAAGTGTGGGGAGGGATTGGCTCGGAGAATTCTGTTCCGCGGACCCAGGAAGGACCAGGGCAGGACCACTGGAGGAGCAAGGAGTTGCTGGCCCCTCGCAGGTGGCACACCAGCTGGGCATGCCGGGGAAAGGAAAAGGCAGACCGAGGCTGGGCTAGGACCCCCACCATCCCTGGTTCCCCAGGAGGACAGCAGGAGGCCTGCTGGGCAGAACACCACCCACTGCCTCCCCAGCTGGCTACCCTTCTCTATATCTGGTTTCACTCTCTCCGCCTTATTTGGCCACATTGATTCTCTTTGGCCCTGACATGATTTTTCCAGCTCTTCATCTGGCTCTACATGGCACCAGCAGAAGAGGCAGCCTCAGTGGCAGAAGGCTGGGTGTGTGGTGGGGGGATGAGGGCAGAGGTGGGCGGTGGAGTGGGGGTAGAAGGAGGACCCAGGCAATCCCGGTTGCTTCTCCAAACACTCTCAGGAACGTTCAAGAGCTAATAAGAGCTGCAAAAGGCTGGAGCCTAGTGCCTGCCTGCGCCATCTTCATAATTCCCCAAGGTGTTTGAGAGATGCAGAGGCAAACTGTCCATTACAGAAGAGGCTTAACCTGAGAAGGGGGAACCCGGTCTTCCTTCCCTATTCCATAGGCCCAGCTAGGACCCCAGCCCAAGCGCCATGGAAAGTGTGTGCAGAATACGGAGGCACAAACTCCGCCCAGAAGACTTTGGGGTGTGGTGTTTCATGGCCCCAGGGTGGAGACGTGGTGCCGGCAGCCACTTTTTTCTGTTTGCCAAAGAGCTTTCTCCCTGGGGATTAACAGGGCCTTCCTGCCACCCCATCTGGCTGGTACAGGAGCCAGAACACCACCCCTGGCTGCCAGCCAGCCTGTGTCAGGGGAGCCAGGTCTCTCTCAGAGACTTACAGGCGCGGTTCTGGGGCCTTAGGGCAGGAAGAGGGAGTCCTTGGCCACCCAGCTGGGAAGTCCAGACCCTGGAATTCGGCCAGTCCCCACCCCTGTCCTGTGGCTGAGGGTGGACAGGGAGTCAGGGGGGTCTCTTGTTGGTTTGCCTTCTTCCTCTCGCTCTCTCTCCTGAAGACAGGAAATATAGAACCAATCAGTAACTTGGAAGACTGAGGACAGGAGAGCAGGAGGGAGCGGGCTTCAGTCTTGGTAAGATGTGATCACCCATTGGAAAGGCCAAGCCTAACTAAGGGTGGACATGCTCTTGGGCAGGGTAGGAATGGGCCTAAGAACCCACTGTCTCCTCCTCATACCACTGCCCCGCCTTCTTATACACCTTCTCTCAGGGACCCTCGAGACTCCGTAGCCAGGAACCCTCCCCAACCCCATGAAGGGAAAGAGGGCCCACTGGCCTGGGGAGTAATTAGCAGTTCCACCCGGCTTGCGGGCTGGATCAGTGACAGAGCCGCACATCAGACAAGGCAGGGCCTGTGTCCTGGAAGGCAGCTCTCCACAACCAGCAGCACCCACAGAACGGGACCACACCAAATGGCCCCTAATTCTCATCTCAGGCTCTGTGGCCCCCCAGATGGCTGTAGCCTGCACTTGTGTCTCTGCTCACCCTTCCTTGCACTGTGCTGAGTAAACAAACACAGCACTCAGGCAGCCCTCTCCTGGCAAACACATCTGACTTAGCAACCGCTCCCAGAATAAATAAACACCGCACTCTTACACACACTCAGACACACTCGCTCGTGCTCTTTCCTGGAACTGGGGACTGTTCCCTGTCCCACGTGCAGCCCCTGTCAGGCCCCAGCCTCAAACAGGCTACATCAGGGTAGTGCCTGGGACTGCCACCTTTTGCCCTGGTGTGGGAACGAGCTGGGGCCTCAGGTGCACAGAGACCTGGACCCAGGCTTGGGGCTTCCTCGGGCAGCCCACGAGTCCCGGGGCGGGTGGGGGGTGCTCTGTTAGGAACCTCACCCTCAGGGGACCACTGGAATGAAACTCTAGACACTCGGAACATTACAGCAGCAAAGGAACCTTCAACACGATCCAGTCACCGGGTCAACCAGCCAAACCTCAGGCAAGAAGGGGGTGACCAAATCCCAAGGATAGGCCTCGCAAAGCCAGGATCAGAACTCAGAGCTCAAACCCTTTCCACTTCCCCACAGAGGCCCCTTCCCCCATCCTATGGATTCTTTTCGCAGTTGTGTCCCTTTGGGGCCGGGACACTTTAAGGGTGAAAACACCACCCAGATGGCAGATTCTGAGTGGACAGTTGGGTAGTAGATCCTCCTGGCTGAATTTCCACTTAGTCCTGGAAGGACTTTCTCAGCAAGGCCCTGTGAGCCTGTACCCTTCCCTGGGAGCTTCCCAGGAGGTGTCCTTGCCCTCTCCTTGGGAATGGTGGCATCTTGAGACTGCCAGCCCTACAATAAGTACCAGGTATCCCCATCAAGAGGTCAGATGAAAATGTCAGTTACCTGGAGGCCTGTATTAAATCTAGGGGAACATTATAGGAAAAATCATCTTAGGCAAAAGAGGCTGGAACTGACCCCCAGGAATTTGTGTTTAATACATAGGAAAATAAGGGGCACCGAGGCAGGAGTGGTGGTAGCATCCGCTCCTGCCTTGGGAGAAAACTATAGACCAAGACAGGCCTGGCGTCTGGCAGAGTGGATCAAGGTCATCCTGGCCATGGTGAAATCCCATCTCTACTAAAATACAACAAATTAGTGGGGCATGGTGGCATGTGCCTGTACTCCCAGCTACTCAGGAGGCTGAGGCAGGGAAATCTCTTGAACCCAGGAGACGGAGGCTGCAGTGAGCCGAGATCACACCATTGCACTCCAGCCTGGGCGACAAAGCAAGACTCCGTCTCCAAAAAAAAAAAATAAAAGTTTATTGAGTGCCTATTATATGCCAAGCCCTAGGCTTTGTACAGGAGATTCAAAGATGAAAAGGTGTAGACCCTGCTTTCAACAGGCTGCAGTGAGCCAAGATTGCGCCACTGTACTCCAGCCTGGTGACAAAGCAAGACTCTGCCTAAAAAAAAGAACAAGGGCCGGGCGTGGTGGCTCAAGCCTGTAATCCCAGCACTTTGGGAGGCCGAGGCGGGTGGATCACGAGGTCAAGAGATCGAGACCATC